ATATATATACGCATGCTAGTGTGCTATGATCAGATACATACCTGGCAAGTTGGCCCACAGAATCCACGTTCCTTACAAGGGCATACAAACTGAACAGGAGCTGCGCACGCAACACATTGGTGTTGAGTTGCGTTCATACTTGGAAAGTATCATGCGAGTGTAGTGTGCGATCTCGCAGAATGCTGTTCTATTTTTTAATTGTAGAGGTCTTGTTACTAATGAGGACTTTCACGTCACGTGGGTGATTATATTGCAATACACCATGTCAAAATTCCATTGTGATTTGGCTAGTAGTGGCGACGGAGTTCACCTTGTACGAGAGCGAAACCTTTTTAATAGTGGGGGTTTATTTTGGTTCCACGGAATAGAATATGTACGCAGCGCCTATGTTAATACATAAGAGTAAAGGTTATATTGTCGACTCTCTTTAGTCGTAATTGCGCAGAGGTGGACGCCGAAATTCCGAATCCAACTCACTCCACTTGAGACAACGCAGCAGTGATTGTCAGTAGTGAACTGAATTCTGTCAGCTCGAGCTTTGATGAATGATGAGAGAACTGTGAAAACATAGTCGTGTTGGTTGACTTGTGGTTGTGAATGTGTTCAGAGTGAGAGTAGACTTTAGTGATCACTGATCACACCACTCATTAAACCAAGGACCACTCTGATTGGTCCTCCGCAGTTCCGGAGCATTATGTAGCACACCAGTGACCCCCCACTCCCAGTGAGTCATTGGCCAGTGGCCACTGACCAGTCACAGACTCGCAGAATGGCATGTCCCTATGGGGAGACTCCTGGACCTCGGACCTCAGCAAGTACTACATACGGTATTTAAATGTCATACTTATTAGTACTACAAACTCTTCAGTATTTAAATACGTAAATACCTCAAAACTTCTGTGAAGTAGACTTCAGGTCCAGGACCAAACTTGAAACTTCACCTCTTCTGTGAGAGCGTGAATGGTACTGCGAATAAACGTTAACCTTTTATAAACAATGGTTCAACGTATGTATGTATGACGTTTTGAGCTTAGCGGTGTTGATTGGCTGAGAGTTTATGTTAATAGTTTTATAACTAATTTATTTCAAAACAAGTTGTGACGTGAAGTTGTGACCCGAAATTGTATTTTTAGAAACAGCCCGCGTGTATGTCCGAAGGTGATTTGATTGGCCAATAGATCGGCTACTATCGCACGCTTGCAACTTGAAGTTTGAATATGGTATCGGCTGTTTACAGTTTTAGTATAAATAAGCAAGGATATGCTAGTTATTCGGTCCCATACGGGGGTGTTTCGTCTGGGAGATAAAGTGAAGTTAGCCATATTTAAATAGTTAACCGTATCATCGAACGCGAGTCGTTGAAATACAAATAGTTATACATTGCTGTTAGTAGCGCCAGTATTTGCTCAAGATGAAGTACGTTTTAGTGTCCGGTGGAGTGATCAGTGGTATTGGAAAGGGTATCTGCGCCAGTAGTACTGGATTCCTGTTGAAGGCTGCGGGCCACCGTGTCACTTCCATCAAGATTGACCCATACCTCAACATCGATGCAGGTAGGTCACTCAATCAGGCGTTTTATTCAATCCTTACTAGCATATGTCTACACTTTTTAGAATTGATTATTTGTAACTGTGATTTCTATTATATCAGGTATATATATATATATATCTATTA